GAAAACCATCAAGTGTGTTTACAATGCTCAGACATTTCAGTGTCTGGCTGATCACCTGCAAACAACCTCCTTTGTGCTTTTCATGTAAATAGTGGTTGGTTTTAGGAAGACATATAACCTCCCTAACTGGTGGGGTCTTACCAACTAATTTTCCATTGAAAGTAGGAGAGAGAAAAAGAAGTTCCCACCCAAAGTAGATTCTATAAAACAATGGGAAACTAGCTGTCACTTTGTCTTTGCCTGGCATGACACACCTAAGGGAATAACCAGAGACCCCAGGTAAAAAAAAATTCCCTCGCTTGGAGTTTTAGCTGAAATAGAAGTGTTAGGGTAAGTTTGCAATAAGCTTTAGTGTGTTATAACTAACTATTCATGTTCTTTTATTTTAAATGTGTAATTTACTTTGTTTTCACTTGCAATCACTTAAATCCTACTGTTGGTACTTGATAGTATTTTTAAAGTAATTTTATTAAGCCCAGTGTAAATAATTGTTACCCAGGGAAGCCATCAGAGTGTACATCTTCCTTTCAATGTAAAAGGGGGGCTTGCCTGAAGAGTTTATTTGAGGTTCTGATTCCATTTTGGAGGTTGGTTTCCTGGATGTTGTGCCTGAGACTACATTCTCCTCAGACCTGAAGTAGGGATGTGAATGACTAGTTGACTATCCGATAAGCAAATCTTTAGTGGACTAGTCACGTCTCCCCCTCCCCCCCTTTGCTGCCTTTATCAGAAAGAGACATCAAGTGGAGGGGAGAGCAGAGGGAGTGCTTCAAAATGGCAGCACTGCGTGGAGCCTGGGGCTCTGAAATGCTGTGTGCAGGCAGGGGCCAGCTGGGAGTCTGTATCTGTTGTTTCAAAGCAGCAGCACCTGGTGGAGCCCAGGGTCAGCGGGGGACTCCCCCGCAGACTGTGGCCTCCATACAGTGCTGCCACTTTGAAACACCACAAGGAGCACACGTCCAGCGGGGGACTGCTTGAGTCCACCACTAGCCCTATGTTCTCTGCAGCGCTTTCACTTTTGAAGTATAGCAACAGCACTGGGACCGTTGCTACGCTTCAAAGGTGGAAGAGCTCTTATTGATGAATCAGATAGTTGATGCAAATTGCATCGACTATTCGATGAGCCATATCCTTGAAATTTTACATCCCTAACCTGAAGTGATCTAGTATCAGCATTAGTCTTCAGGAAGTCAGAGAGGCAGTTGAGGGGCAGGGTTCATCTCAGTTCTGTGCCTTGGCTGAAGGAGACCAAGAACTCTGCCCCAGCAGAACAAGGTGGTGAGGGGCCCCAGGGAGCAAGGAGGCGAGTGTCAGTGGCTTTATCAGCAAACCAGCAAGCAGCCCCAAAGGGTCCTCTGTGACTGCACCACATCACAATAACTCCACGCAACTCAAGTGGCTTCAGTGGCTTTCTATGGGGGTTGAGCTAGCTCATAGAATGCCCTCCCCTGATGATTCCAGACTTTGTTGGGAAATAACATTAATTTAAGGGCTTCCCTTCAGATTTCTACTATACTAAATACTTTCAGGATTTTTTCCTACCCCATGTTTTGCAATTTGGGGTAATCATTGTGGCCTCCTATCTGCAGGCATCAGAGGTGGAGAGACAGCTCTCAATGAAGGTCCATACCTTGCAAGAGGACTTCCGGGAGAAGAACTCATCAAGCAGTCAACATATAGTACGACTCGAAAGTCTCCAGGCTGAGGTGAGTGGCCTTCTCATTGTAGTGGTTGAAGTTTGATATGTCTCTCAAGGTAATCAGTGGTATAATCTTGTGTAATGAACCCCTCTGAACTGGGTAAACAAATCTATCTATGTTAGTTTGTGCCAGCAAGAAAAAAGAAAGACGGTGAAAGGCTAGAAGGAGCTAATTAGTTTAGCTGTTCACCTGTCTTTCTCTTTGTTCACACCATCAGATCCCCTATATGTAAATAGGTGAGTTGTCCCCTGTTTTGAAAATAGCCTAAGTTATTAGGTGGGTGAAGTAATATATTTTATCGGACCAGCTTCTGAATGTGACAGAGACATGCTTATGAGCTTACAGAGAGCTCTTCCCCAGTCACCTAATCCTATCAGGAAGATAGAAAGCAGGGGAAACAGTGAGGTGGAGCTCTTAGGAGCTAAAATGTGGGTATGTTCAGGTTTCCCGAAAGAGAGCTCTCTCTGTGTAAACCCAAAAGCATCTCTCTCAGAAGTTGGTCCAATAAAAGATATTACCTCATCCACTTTGTCTAATATTCTGGGACTGACATAACTATAACAACACTGCAGGTACAAAAGTGTTAGTCACATAAATGCCCTTAAGTTTACCCCATTTACAGTGGTGACTGTCATACCAGCATAGCTATTGTCATGAAAGAATGTTTCAGAAGGAGCATCTCTCTCTCTCTCTCTTCTCCGCCCCCCCTACCTCTCACCAAGAGTTCCAACTCCAGCACAGGTTCTCCTCTTTCTTGATTGCTGCAATAATAGCTCCCCAGCTTGTCTAATAGATAATCCTATCAAAAGGATGGAAAGCAGAAGAAATAGTGTGAGGAATCTTTTTCAGGCAAAATGTGCGTATGTTCCAGTGGGCCATATCCAAACACATACTCCATTTATGAGAAGGGAGCTGTTCTGAATGGCTGAGAAGAAAGCAGAAATTTAGTCCTCCATTTGAGGCATGCATGGAAATGTGAGGCTATCCTTTATTCTTATTTTAGCTCTGAATATCTTGACCAGAGCTAAACATTTTTCTTTTTGTTTTCCTTCTGTGATTTGGGGAAGATGTGAGACTTGAATATGAAGGACTTGGAGTAGAAAAAACCCTGTTGTAAAATCCTACTATTTTTTAATGAATTAAAGTTTTTTTCCTAAATTTCTGTTTCTTTTCCTCTCCTTACCCTCCTTTTCCCCATTTCCCTTCCTTTCCTCTTCCCCTTGGTGTGGAGCAGCAGGTCCTTGAAGTAAGTACAGATGCCTTGATTGAGTTTTGAATGCATGTCCGTTACCATCACCATGCATGCCCCACCTGCTAAGGACCTTCCTGGCTTGCACTTTCAGCCCATTTCCCCCCCTCATACCCTTGTCCTTGTCCAAGGCCTGCAGGAGAGTTGTGGGGTTTTTTACCGTCGTTCACGGGTGGTTCATTACTGAGTTTTATAACAAGTGCTAATGTAAAATGCAGTCTTCTGTTCTGTGTTTCTCTCTGTTGTGTTCCTTGTCTCCATTTCACTGAAGTCATGCTTGTAGGGGAAGAGATTTCTCAGCAATCATTACTCACATATGAATAAATGTAAATATTCAGGATTGATACAATATTCCTTCATCTTTCAAACATTTGATTCCCCCAGAAAATACAGAATTCTTCATTTCTCCAGGATAGCTGAATATCTAGTTAATCTGTGTCCAGGCACCATCTGTACACTAGGTGCATAATCCTAAACATGGGGCTTGGAAGATAGACAGATAGACAGGTACCCGAGAGACCCTGGAGGAAAGTTAGCAGCTAACATAAGTGTACTGGAAAAGACCAGATGTGGCCCCCGGCTTGCCTGGATCCAGTCTTCAAGACTCAGGGCTTCACCGCCCCCGGGATTGGGGAGCCTGCACAGGGCTCCGGCTCTCCACTGCTCCACCATGGGCTGGAGCACACAAAATCTACTAGCCTGGACCACCCAAGGCCTAATGTGCAAGGGGAATGTGAGGAGTATCTTTCTCCTTCTCAGTCAAGAGCCACATCAGTGAGGGCTTTTTTTTTTTTTTTTTGCTTCTCACTTGTGTATAGCCTTTGACTGATTTTTCTGTGTGTCAGTGGTCCCCAGCCAGGGCCGGACTGAGGCATGGGTGAGCTGGGCAGCTTCCCAGGGCGCCAACGGATGGGGGGCGCCTGATGGCAGCTGTAAGGGGCGTGTGGCGTCCCTTACAGCTGCCATCAGGCGCCACACGCCCGGCTCCTGCAACTCCAGAGCCACCATCAGCGGCCCCCCGCCGGGCTCCTGCAACCCCAGCCTAGGGACACCAGCCAGCAGTGCTCTTCCCCCCACACCCGTGGGGCCCCTGGGCCAGGCTGGGCAGCACATGTGCTGTGCGCCCCAGGGGCGGGCCCATGCCATGCACCTGGAGGCGGCGCCACATGCCTGGGCCCAGGGCGCCAAAAGTGCTCAGGCCGGCCCTGCCCCCAACCCAAAAAAGGTTTCCCGCTCCTGACCTAGAAAATAGTAAAGCAGGGGAGGAGGAGGATTAAGGGAGAGTCCTAGACCAATATTTGAGTTGGTTTAAGGCATCTGGGGCACGTGTGAACAGGGGCTAGGAATGCATCTGGAACAGTTGGGAGGGCGAGCTGTAGAAAACCAGCAAGTTAATCAAGTAGCTGTAAAGGAAATTTGAAGAGACCTATCAGAGAGGTCTGAAAGGACCCAGAACACTATGGAAGGGGGGCTAAGAGTATGGGTATAGATTGACCTAGGGAACATGAGTTGCTAGACCAAGCCATCTGAGATAGTGTATGAACAGACCAGGAATTATTTGGGACATCAAAGGTCTGTAAGCATAGCTGAAGAACAGCTGATGGTGTAGGATAGGATACAAAATATACCAACAACACACAGGTATCCTGGTGGTAAGCACTGTATAAGAACCTGGATAGACAGCTAGATGGGAAAATGTATTCCTGGTTATATAAAGTGCCCTTTACTGGTACTGATTAAGTCTATATACAGCTTCTTGCTAAGTGAATGTTCTTGGCACATTGTCCTTCATCAACTGCCCTTGTTGCAATGGACCATTGAAAGGCTTGAATCTATTTTAAAACAAGTAATTGTTGGGGGATATCAACTGTTGCACAAAACTATCAGTCTGCTTTTTAAAGCATAAAATTATATCCTGTTGGGGAGTCGTCAAACTAAACATTTAGCAAAGAATAGGGTGCTCAATTGCCATGCTTTCCTGCCTGTTGCCCATAAAGGGCATAGCAAGTCTTGTTATTTCTCTCTCTCTCTCATGCTCTTTCTCTCTCTCTTGCTCTTTCTCTCTTCCCCTTGTCCACCCTCCCCCCCCTAGAAATTCCAGTAAGTGGCCATATACAAATGTAGGGGGATGCCCTTCCTGGACATTCCAACATTTGCTCACACCAGGAACAGAGTAGTAATGAAGCTGAGCTGAGTAACTAGCATCTCACATCTGTGCACGTTTTATTGTCTGAATGAATCCTCCGGGCAGGGATGGGCCATGCTCTTCCTTAGCTCTTAGGAAATTCCAAGGTACACAGTGGCCTCTTCTTCCCCCTTTCCTCCCTCTACATTTGCCTGGCAACGCACATTCCAGCATCTCAGAAGCTGTACTCCCACTCTGCTCCACTGAGTTTTCTTGTGGGAGGCATTTTCTTTCAACCTCCTCCTAAGCTCTGAGTTGCATAAAGAGGCAGTGTTTCTCTCATGCAGGTGCAGACACAGACCCACAGGTACACAGTGGCCTCTTCTTCCCCCTTTCCTCCCTCTACATTTGCCTGGCAACGCACATTCCAGCATCTCAGAAGCTGTACTCCCACTCTGCTCCACTGAGTTTTCTTGTGGGAGGCATTTTCTTTCAACCTCCTCCTAAGCTCTGAGTTGCATAAAGAGGCAGTGTTTCTCTCATGCAGGTGCAGACACAGACCCACTCTGGTTCCTGCTGCTTTTTCCAAAGCCTGGGGCATAACACTAGTTCTCTGCTTACTGATAGGAAGCAGGAGCTGGAGTGTTGCCTTAGTGCCATGATGGAGGAAAATGATCTGCTTCAGAGCACTGTGGAGGAACTGCAGGAGCGAGTGCTGGTCCTGGAGAGACAAAGCCATGATAAGGATCTGCAGGTGAGGAGAGCAAGAGCGGAGTGGGGGAGGAGGGGAGAGAAATGCTCACATGAGAGAGAAAATGAAATTCTGAAAGCTAAGAAGGGATAAAGAAGGGGTTCTGGGATGGGACCTACAGTTAAGAGAATGGGAATTTGGAGATAGGAGGCCAAGGGGAAGAGTAAAATGACGCTGTTGTTCCTCTGTGATCATCAAAGTGACTAGTGCCTAGAAATGACCTGCAGAGGACAGGAACTCTCACAGAGGAGACTAAAGGAAGAGAAAATACGTGATTAGAACAAGGAGTGAGAACAAGGAAAACAGGTACTTCAATGGAAGCTATGGAGACTGAGGAAGTGGTTCATTTCTGCTGATTTCTTACTTGGGTTGACTCCAATAGGGTACACTATGGGTAATTTGGGTAGAGGATTGTAGCCATTCTCAGATCTCTCATTATTCACAAGTTCCACATAACAGCCCCATGGATTTTTCAGCATCTCTTAGTGAACATTACTCCACGTACAGTTTGAACTAGTTGCTACCTCTGTGTTATATAGTCTGTCTCTGAGTGGAGAGTGATATTTTATTATTTCTTTTCTCAGTTCACCTTATCCACTGCAGATTTGTGGCTATACCACCTATTTTATTCTTTGGCTCCCCATATCCTCTGCCAGTAAGTGGAACAAAAGAATATAGGAATTGATACACAAGAGACTGATAGACCATCTAGCCTGGTACCTGCTGTTAGGCCTTAACTGCTTCTTCAATAGGAGGTGCAAAATCCCTTCTAATGCATCCAGTTAGAACCATGTTTATCCTAGTCAATGAAGGAAATAATTTCTTCCGGAACACAGGGTCAACAGTCCTAGAAACTGAAAGTTTCCTCACTTTGACTCCCACTGTTCCTCAATCCAGGTAGGGAGAGATTTTGTCCAGGGAGTTCAGTCTTCACTGACCCATTTGGTCCTTGGACTCTCTGCCATGAGCTTGCCAGGCTGGGACTAGTTAATGTGAGCTGTGATGGCAGGATTGTAATTTGGATGCCTATCCATGTGGAACTGGACAGACCCACCAATTTACTTTATGCAGTTGAACAGCATTACAATCTGAGAGCTGCTCAATAATCTGCCACCAGCCTGGTCTGGATTTGACCTGGTGATTTAGACAGGAAAGGCTATTTCTGCCATAATTAACACTCCCAGTTGTCAATTTCATCAGCCTCTATAATTTTATTCTAATTATGTAATTTATTCATAGATAAAAGTCTAATCAGAAATTTACTAAGCTCTGTACCTCAGTTTGAGCAAGTAAATTTCATTTCCATTACAGTATTTCTTTTATTCATTTATTTTTCCCCTTCCTAATTTCAGAAAGTGCCCTCTAGTTATCTTGTGGTGAGACAGTGTTAATAGGGACTCCCAACTGCTTTTTTATTGTTATATGGTATTTATAAATATATTCTCTTTTGGAATGCATCTTCTCTCCAAACTACCTATGCCTAGTCTTTTTTCATATTTCCACATCTGGATCTCACCCTCACTACATCATGCCTCTAGCTAATTTTGTTGCCTCCACTGGACCTTTTCTGCTGTCTTTCTTGAGATGAGGGAACCATTGCAGAATGTGGTATCCAAGGAGAGGAATTATTATCTTTTTTTCATACTTCTCTCTATCCCCTACTGTACAAACTAGCATCTTAGCTATTTTGACCACTACTGTACAATAAGCTGTCCACAATGGTGCTTAAATCTTTTTCCTTAGGGGCTATCGCTAATTCAGAATTTACCTGTGTAAACAGATGGATTAAGCTGTTCTTTTTAACATACATTACCTCCTAGACACTTGTCTCAAATGAATTTCTATCTGCCTGTTATTTATGTAGAAAGTGATTGCACCCAGTACTGGTGTACAAAGGTGCCCCTTTACCCCACCCCTCCCCCCCCCCCTTTTTTACACCCTTCAATTCAGCTGTGTGGTCCAAGTAAATAGGTTCAGGTCCCACCACGCCCCCTTGTCTCAGGTATGTGGGTGAATTCGGGCCTACCGCCCCTCTTTTCTTCCGGTCTGGGGAATGAGGGGAGGGGGGCCCGGGCCCACCCTCTCTCATGGGACGCAGCCCAGGGCCCTACATAACATAAGAACATAAGAACGGCCGTACTGGGTCAGACCAAAGGTCCATCTAGCCCAGTATCCTGTCTACCGACAGTGACCAGCACCAGGTGCCCTGGAGAGGGTGGACCGAAGACAATGATCAAGCGATTTGTCTCCTGCCATCCCTCTCCAGCCTCTGACAAACAGAGGCCAAGGACACCATTTTATCCCCTGGCTAATAGCCTTTTATGGACCTAACCTCCATGAATTTATCCAGCTTCTCTTTAAACTCTATTATAGTCCTAGCCTTCACTGCCTCCTCTGGCAAGGAGTTCCACAGGTTGACAACACGCTATGTGAAGAAGAACTTCCTTTTATTAGTTTTAAACCTGCTACCCATTAATTTCATTTGGGGTCCTCTAGTTCTTCTATTATGGGAACTAAGGACATGCTCTAGTAGCATCCTGTCCAGCTGGTGGGATCAATACCTGAAACTCACCAGTCCACCAGCAAGTCCTGAAATGCCCTGCCCTGGGTTGCTTCCTACCACGCCGGACCCAGAGGCACACCCCTTCCCTTGCTTTCCTCCTCCTATCCAGCCCTCCTTTCCAGGCTCCCTTTTCATCCCCTCCCGGAGTCTCCCTGCCTGATGTCACCCTCTGACTCCGGGGTCAGGGGCATTCTACTGCCTGTGACGTAGCCTAGGGCTTCAGACTTCCCCCGGTCTGGCTCCTGCACCTGTCAGCTGGGCCGCAGCCACCAAGCAGTTTGCGCAGGGGGCCTGTGTCTCCCAGCTCGCCCCCAGGAGCGCATGCGCCACTGTGGAGTACAATGGGGCGGATTGGCCCCAGCCAAACAGGGCAGCTCCAACTCATCACAACCGGGTTTACTGTTTTGACTTTGTACCCGCAGTGTAACAGGAAACCTAATATATTTATTTGAGGAGTGTCCCTGTGGGTGCTCCACTGTAGGTGTCTGAGTTGTTTACTCAGTTCTGCACCCTCTCATTACAGATATGCTCTGATTTAAAAGGCTTGAGGGCATAGGTGATAGTAAGCTGATGCACCACTCCAGCAAGAAGCCAGCTGGCTGGGGCACTCGGCTGCAGAGGCAGAGGTGGCACACTCCCAGCCTGGCTCCTGGGGCTTCCTGCAGGCTGCCACATTAAGCAGCAGGCAGACAAGTTAAAGGAGGTGGTTTCGGGACTGCCCCAGATCTGAGCCCCCTCCCCTATGCACAATTTCAACAGGGTGGAAGGCAGAAGGAAGGTTGCCGCTACACATACCAGAGAAAGTGTACAGCCTGCATGCATTCCTCCTCTGACCCTCCTCTGGATGGCAGGGAGGGAGAGGAATGCATGCAGGCTGTGCACTTTCCCCACATTCACTGAGAGGGAAAGGGGAAGAAGAGAAGCAGTAACCCAGTATGTGCATCTGAAGCATACACACCCCACATCCTCCTGAAATATCACCCATGCCCCCCCACACTAACCCCTATGCACACCCAGTACTGGTTCCTAAGCCCTCTGCCCTGACTTC